CTCGAGCCGGTTTCTCAAACTTACCTACCCCACCTTTAAGCTTAAGGAGAGTTAACAGAATGAATAAAAAGTGTAGGTACATTTTGGGTGTCTGTGGCCATCTACAGTATATGAGTTGGGCCTCAGTGTTATATAAACCTGGGCTATGACCTTTAATGTTGTTTCTTTCTCCTTCCCTACTTTGCTTCTCTTTCTCTCTTTCAGTTTGGATCGGACTGGATTGTATACTTGACCAAACCAGATGGATCTTACAAAGAAACCAGCCTCCTTGAACTGTTGCCTCTGGCCTTTTCCCCGGCCGACCTCGCAAAGAACTGATGAAGCCTCGGCAGCAAAGAACTACATTTTTAGTGCCTTATTCGTACTTATTTAGCAGCTATGTCTCTTGAATTATGTTATGGAAACACTGCAATTTAGGAAAAAATAAAACATTTTAACTCCTAAACATGTGTGTGATGATGATGATTTTTAATATGTAGAGGTGTAAGTAAGTAGATTTACTCAAGTACTGTACATTGCAGTTTGTACTTCACTAAAGGTCAGGGGTATGTCGTGTAATTTACTCTAGTACATGTATTTAGTTCACTTAAATTACTTTGCAGATCTGAATTAATAATGTCAAATATAATCAGCACTTAAATAGGACTTTAGTTACACCCAGGGGTTAAATTGGGCCGGGGCTGTCCGGGGCTCAGCCCCAGCACATAGGACGATGCTCTGATGTCGTCACCCTCGCTCATTTGTCATTTGCTTAAGCCATATGTTAAAACATCTCTCGTTCTTAATATAGACTTTAATTAGGGTCGATATGTGTTGACTTTACTTTAAAATAGCAGATCTCTGTGACAGGATATCGTTTTTCCGCTCACTGTGTGGCTCTGCTCCGATCAGGTGCTGCAGCACCGTGGCTCCTTCGTGCAGAGAGTCTGCAGCGGTGTGTGTGTGTGTGTGTGTGTGTGTGTGTGTGTGTGTGTGTGTGTGTGTGTGTGTGTGTGTGTGTGTGTGTGTGGTTTACTGTCCTATATACATTTCAATAATTTCAAACCTGTCTATGCAAATAATTATAAAAGGAGTGCCTTGGAAATATTTGTTTACATATATTGCATTTATCTCTCTCGCTCGATCCCACGCCCACTTTGGCTGTGATAAGCCAACACCCCCCACTTTCATCACTTACAGCGCCCATCGTACAGGAAAAAATGAAAAGTGTAACAGGGATGAAAAGGGTGTTACCTTTACTTAATTATGAATGTTGTTACATCAAGGCTGAAAATTAGGATGAGCGCAAACAGTCAAAAATGTTTTTTTCCCTCCCAGAGCTGCCAGCGCAGCGCCCCCCCCAGATCTGGCGCCCTAGGCGACCGCTTTGCCATAGGCGGCCGCTATGCCAAAAACCGGCCCCGTACACCATGCTACATGTATGTCTGCATAAAGCTGAGTTATGATCGGTCATGATAACACAGAACTTGGTGATGATTAAATAGTTGGCAGCGCAGCCCTTCAAATGAATTGAGATTTCCACACAAATGTTCTTTAGCAAGTGTGCAGAGCAGTGTTGATTTAAAAAAGCAATTTGAAGGTTGGATATTTGTAAATCTTTTTTTGTGTATATATATTAATAATTTAAGATGTAAATGAATTCCAGTTTATTTGTAGTACTTTCTGTTTTTATTGTGGCATTTGGTGGCATCAATGTGTGCTTTTGATACAGATAATGGAGCAGTTGCTTTAGGGCCACAGCGTATGTCCCTTAAGGTCAAATAATGAGATCCTCGACCTCCGCCCCCCTCTCGCACCTCCACACAGAGCCCCCGATCATAATCACTCATCATCACCATTCATTCACTGCTGAATCTACTGTATGTGTAAGAGGGTAACTTTTGATATAGCAAAACATTTTTTATATTTATTTTGAAGCGCACTTTGTTGAAATGTCAAATGTACCACTATCTATACATGATGTTCCTGCCTAATATTAAAGAAAACATGATATATGATAATATGTTTGTTTATATCCTGCAAATAGAACCAAATGATTAATATGTTTTCTCTGTTTGTATTTTGACTAAAACAAAGGAATATTGTGAGGAAAATGGCAGAAAGGTTTGTAAGCCATGGGAGCATTACTACTATTGGTTAACATTTTATTTGGTTTCTATTCATTGTGGATATTGATTGGCATTATGGGTAATTATCCGAACAGAGTCTGATGAAGTTTGCACACTAAGCTGACACCCTGGAAGTCTGCACTTAGTGTGCTTAAGAGTCCTTGTATACTTGTTGAATTGGAGATTTGGTCAACACTTAACACTGTCAGGCTTCCTGGGCTCTCACTCTTTAAGTTTTTAAGTGCAGGAAAGTCTAGACATTTCTACTCATCCATAGATCAAGGAGGATGGTGTGAGTGTGGGTACTTACATGGTCAAATAGTACACTGCTCGATTACAAACACAACAGAAACACCACCGTCTACAGTGAGTTTGGGGACAGAGTTGGACAAACATTTCTTAAAGAGTTATGGATAATGTTCCTGTCAGATATCTGGCTCTGACAATTATGAAGCAAATCTAGTGAGGGGTTGCATCTGCAGGCAGAATAGATTCAAACCAGGATTGTGCACACTGATCTATGTTTGCTAGTAAAATATTGTCACTGGTTACACGAGTCACGACCTGGGAGTAAGGTAAAAGGTGATCATGTTGGAGGCTGAGGTCTTGTCTAGGAACAAGCAGTGGGAGCAGAAAACATTTCTGTCCTGTCTGTGCTGAAACTAGTTTATATGCATGCTACTAGAAATGAAAGTAGGTTTATGACAATTATGCATCTGTTTTATTTAGCATTTCTTCAGATATGCAATGTGATCATTGTTGTAAGTGCCACTAAACTTGAATACATGACTGTGTACTGTGTATTCAGCTGCTCTGTTTACATACACACTTTATGCTCAGGGGATAAACAATGGAAAAGCTTAAATTGCTCATCTTGTCAGATACTTACTGACTTCATCCACCTCCGAGGACCCAGAGCCCCTCATCCTGAGGTACATGAGGCCCAGCAGCAGAAAGAAGAGGCAGGCTGCTGTGAGCAGGAACATGGAAAGGTAGTGAGCACTAAAGCTTCCAGAGGAGGCGACCTCCTCTCTCTTAAACTGCTGGAGCAGCTCATCCTCCGGGACAGACAGCTTCTGCTTCAGCACCGCCTGGCTGTATGAGTGGTTGGGGGCAGTGTGGTTGGAGTGGTTGCTCCTGTAGGTCTGGGACAGACTGCTGTAGTTGGAGAAGCGCGGTCTCAACCCAATGGCGAACCGACTGCTTCTGTAAGCTCCGTCCTCCTCGTCAACGTGGTTGTTTTTACCGGCCTCTCCTCCATGGTTCTCTGCGAGGGACACGTATATGGTCTTCCTGGGAGAAACGGTGTGGCTCCTCAAGCCTCCCGGCGTGTCTGAATCTCTTCTCTTCCCCTTGCCTCCCTCCCCCTCCTCCCTCCGGTTCCCGACCATATTTAAACCCTCAGGCGGGTTAACCTGTCTGGCTGCCCCTCCCGTCTGGGACCCTCGGCCCACTACGTGGAAAGCAAAATCGGCTTTGGGGTGACTCCGTCTCACGTTAGGCACCAACCTTTCCTGCTGCTGGTCTCCGACACCAGGGCCCCGGACCTCCTCCTCGTCCGAGTCTGAGTAATCCCCAGCTAGCTTGCTAGTGTTTAAGTGAGACGCCCCACAACCATTTAAAGAGCGAGAGTTTTTCTCTATTTCCCCCTCATTATCATCCTCGTCCCCCGATTCATCGTAATCCTTCCCTTCCGCCTCAGGGCTCGATCTGGCCCGGACCCCCCAGCCCAGCGAGACTCCCCTCTGTCTGCCCGGACCCGGGGAAGAATGTGTGCTATTTAGCGTAGCGCCATACTGACTCTTGTTAGCTACACTCGGTGTTGTCGGCCTTATCTTCGGATGTTGTGGGAACCCAGGGCTCCTGTCTGCCTGTCGGCCTTTTCTTTTGACTGGAGTTTCAGCGTCAGACTCGTCGGAGCTGAAGCCCAGGACGGAGGACTTCCTGCCCGGTCTCCTGCTGGAGCTCAGGTGCGTGACGTCATGGCTGGCTGGCCTGGGTCCCGCCGTGTTGCCTCCGCCGCTGGGGCTGTGAATGGCCCCGGTGCTACGGGTTTTACCGGCTCTGGAGCCCCGCTGCTGTTGCTCGTCGCGAAGCTTCTTCAATTTCTTCAGATACACCGGCCGAGTGTTTTCGGTAACCGGTCCTGGAGTGAAACCAAAGTGCTTTAATTCGGAGAAAAGCTCCTCATCCGTTAACTGCGTTGACGCCATCTTGGACAAAACTCTCGGAGATGGTTTCAAAAGGAAATGACGTAGGGGTGAAGTGGTAGTACACCAACTGGGCTGCGTTCAACAGCATGTTGTTTATAAATGATGTTTATATTCTTATTTATGGGGAATGTATAAAGTTATAAAACCATATATTTCCTTTATATACAATTAATACTTGTGGATGTGTATTTTGTAAATTGTGTAACTTCTACTTGTACCTTTAATATATATTAATTAATAGGCTCTTTAATTTCTCCAACAATGTACATGTCCCCTCTGTGGGACGAATAGTTATTCTGATACTTTGAATATTCTATCCTAATATGTCTTTATTGACATTGTGTGTCTTGTTTTATCTCAATGGGTACATTTTGAACTGTTTTACTTTATTAATGTACATTTCGTCTATATAATGATGTTCTGTGAAAATGATCTGTGCAACATACTGTACAGGGGTATTGGTATTCATTGTAATTATCATAAGGATAATACATTCAGGTTTGTTATTTAGCGTAGCACCATACAAATATCATAAGAGATTCAGCCTCATCCAGATACTATTTATTTTACTTTGACAACAATATAAGATATACCCCACTAGGCGCTAGCCCTTGACATGGATGTGGTTTTGTGGTATTGATCAGCAAGTGTCCTCACTTCACTTAAGTCAGCTGGTATATCCTCTACATTATTTTAAAAAATAGGGTAAGATTTAAAAAAGTGACTAAGGTCATAATTCAATCATTTGTTTTCTGTTGTTGTTTGGTAGGACAACCTTTGAATGTATAGCTAAAAGATGGCCAAGCAGAACTCAAGACAAAATACAAAAATAGATGGAAACAAATCAATTTATTCAACACTGCTCGGATACTTTTCCCCCATACTTTTCCCATCTGGAAAATATGGCACTCTTTATTTTCACATCACTGTGACAACTCCATAAAGAATGTTTAACAGCAGAGTATTAAGCAGTTAAAGTGCAATAAGAGATCAGTAATTAATTTTAAACCATTACACCATGACAGAAAGACATAAATCTGCTGTTAGTCCAGTAAAATACTAATAGTTGATAACATCTCAATCAAGACATGCACAACTGTAGTTTGGAACAACATTCATATATAACAGTTTATCTTCATAATATTGATCTGTTACCCAATTCTGGAGAATACATGGAGGAACAGAATTGTGTAGAATCTCTAAATCTCAGATTTGTCTCTTTACTAAATACAGTACTAAACTGTACACTGTTACATTTACAATATTGAATATGTACAATCAAAGATAAATGAATAAACCCAGGAATGCACTTTAGTAAACTGAATATAGAATGTGTCATCTTCTTGCTGAATATGTAACAACATTATAAAATAGTCGTAAATTAAGTTTGAGAAAATATGTAATGATAGACGTGAAACCCCACTATAATACCTACTTATGGAAAATAAATGCGCTCTAAATTTGTTGGAGTGTCCACTAATGCCCCATATGATAACATATTTTTCTATCAACTGTGATCCGTTCTTACAGCACAAAACATTTCCAGGTCAGGACATATGTGTCACAATTCAAGTATGGTATATAATATATATCTCAATATTTCAAAAGAAAAGCCTGGTGATACAATATATTAATCTTATTTTCAACAAACCCCATGAAAAAGATAAATCTAACATTGGCTTTCTCTGTGCAATATAGGTGCATTGTACTTAAACTATTAATCCGCCACTGAAAATGGTCGCTAAATAATGTAATATTTCCTCCTGTTTGAGTAACGCTTGCTGAATTGAATAGTGTTAAAAACTCTAAGTGAGCTGCAAATAGGCCAGGTGGGGGTGCTAGTGGGCTTTATATCAAATTGGGTAATGCAGATTTAAGCTCCCTTATAATATTATGTGTACATTTTGGTTGCAGACGGAACAAAAACTTCACTCATATAGATCTACTTAACTGAATACAAACAGCCTGATTAGCTATAGTAAGACAAATATAGGTATGTGATGCAGACGCCTGCAAATAATTCACCAAGCACAGACAGGTTCCCTTTTTAAAATCAAATGTTTGGTCACCTTAATGAGAGAAAGTTACATAAAAACAATCACATAACTGCATATCTGTGGGTTTCCAGTGAGCTGGGTAAAGTGCACTTTTCAGTGTTTCTTCATAGAATCCAGGAGACGCAGGAGGTGCAGGAACAGGTTGACGATGTCCAGGTAGAGGTTGATGGAGGCCAGGATGTGCTCCTCGGGGGAGAGCTGCTTCATCAGCAGGTGGGTGTCGTAGATGATGAAGCCACAGAAGACCAGAGCGCCGGCTCCAGCCATGATCAGCTCTGTGCTGTCGCTGTGGAAGAAGAACTGCAGGGGGCACAGAGTCAGCATGAAGAGGGGGAGCAAGATGGACAGTGTTCTTCAGTATATGCCCCCAAGTATTTGGACTACCCTGATCCACAGCTTCCACTCTTAGGCTGGACAATTAATAAAATATGGTAGCAAAGTTGACAAAGTCATGGTTCTAATCTCTTTTTGTTTTCCAACGCAGACAGTGCCCAAGCAGTGTTGGTGGGATTCTAAGCTAAACACCGAGCGGTAAACTTTGATGAAGTAAAGGCTTAATCAGGCCTGACTAACCATGCAAAAAACTCCAATGTTGTTGAAACGTAGCAAAGATTGGTCATGTGGACACAGTTTGGCTCTCGTCAACATGATACGGGACATAGTATAGCTAAATGTAAATACTGTGACAAATAGAGGGTGTCAGCTTCCTCTGTAGTGTGTGGCGGATGTGCGGGAAAGAGGCGACGTTGTGGCGCTCAGGTCAGGTGTGCAGATTAAATTACGTTGCATTAACAGTAGTGAAAGTAGCAGTGCAAGTGCAGTAGGAGGTTTTTCAGAGGCCAAGTGCTTCTAAAACAACAACCCTTTTTTTTTTTTAACAGCAGCTGATTTGGGATCTTTTATTCAAGATGTAGAATACTGAATGTGTATCCTATTTGGTGTCTGTTTTTGAGGCTCATGTGTATCTCCATATTCACAAAGAGGTCTCAATCGAATACTTTTTTTACTAAAAATAGGCCTTTGTTATGTGTATCTATATTTGTTCCTATTTTTCTCTTGTTTCTTTCGGAAGCTTTTTCTCTCTACTTGCTTATTTATTTCCCTCTGTTGGATCATACTTTACTTTAGCAACATGCCCACTGCTTCACAACTCCCTCAGTGCATTATTCTTTCTGAATGCAAGCTTCTTCTTTGTCTCCCTTTTAATTGTTTTTAATACTAAATAGATTACAAATTGATGTCACTTACCCTCATGAAGCTTGCAATGATAAGAATCCACAGGCAGGCGAACAGTCTGTAAGGAAGAGAACAGATCAGACACTGTAACTCAGGTGGTGGCTCCCTCTGGAGGAGGGATACTGAAGCTAAAACAACCGAGCAGCAGCCGTGACTCACCCTGCGCCCATTTTGCTGAAGTCTCTCTTGGACTGGAAGGTGTAGACTGTCAGTCCAGCAAACACGGCACATGTCAGGCACAAGGCTTGCAGAACAATGGAGTATTCATAGAAGGTCACTGTGGAGAGAAAAACTCTGCTATCAAACAATCTCAAAACAGGCTAACTGACAGAATCATCAAATAAATATCAAACTTACCAGCTGTGGCCACAGAAACAGCTTCCAGCAGAGTCTGAAAACAAGACACAATAGGTGAAACTCACAAGCTAACCAAAGCTATAATTACAAGCTACCGTAAAGATTCATGTCAATCAGCAGCTAATCTATTATAACTAAACGTTTAAATACATGATAGGTTGTATACACAGTGTACAGAAATAAAACAATGAACTACTAAAGACTGGAATTTATAAAAAAAAAAAAAGGCTTACAAACACAGTCAGCAGGTAGAGGTTGACTGGATGTTTGTGTCTGTACACGGCCAGGGCCACCAGTATAACCAGAGAGCCCAGAGCCGAAACCAGAACCACAGCAGGACTGGGGAGGAAACCAAGTCACAGTCAGAAATACACAAGCTTCATGCAAACACTGCGAGATAAACATTATGAATTTAAACCTACTGTTATGGGATGACCGCACAAGTCATGTGTGATATTTCGCTGAGTGATATAAATGGCAGTGACTAAGGGAATATGTGTTTTGTGATCAGCGCTAAATTCACCTTTAGCATGTAGTACCAGGTCTGCTCTTGGACATTGTTGTATAATAGCCTACTTAGCAACTAATGTGCATTGTTGCCAGTTTTCACTGTCACCAAAACAATAGGAACAATAGTCTTCTCCCAAGATTATGTGAAATATAGCAAACAAATAAATATTCACTTTTGTGGTAAATACAATTACGGATGCAGGCATTCATGGAAGAAAAGCCCATGGTTCCATGTAACGGAGGTGATCTTTGGGGCCATAGATCTCGGCCTCCGTCATGAATTGAGTAGCTTCGTTGGTGGCGAAATGTAGGTAGTTTGTGCCTCTGTCTGTGTTTTAGGTTGTCTGTCTCTGTTTGCTGGTTTTATTCTGAAAAGTGTTCCCCTTCCCCCATGTCTGTTACTGCTGATTGTGTGCACCTGGTGCCCTGTGTTGTCTCCTCCCCCCCCCACCTGTGTCTAATTGCTGATTAGTGTGTGTGTGTGTATTTAGGCTCTGTTGCCCTGTCTGTTTTGGGGAGGTAGTGTGTGTGTGTGTGTGTGAGATCCTTGTGGCTGGTGACTTTGCTCACGGGAACAGCAAGATTGAGGCTGTGTCCTGGAATCGAGTTTAATAAATGCCCACACCGGGATATATTTTTGGATGTTCTGCCTCCTTGCTTGGTCGGGCCGCTCAATTGTCAGCTTCACATTCCCTAATCTTTCATCTTGACGTATAACAGACCACCCTCACCTGCTGTGGACAAAGTCCTTGATGGGTTGACAGAACATGAAGAGGGCAGAGGTGGCTGTGGTCAGGATGATCTGCAGACTCAGCAGGGTGTACACCTTCCTCAGGAAGTCTGATCAACAAACACAGCAAGTTAGACGCAGTAATACAGAACCACACTCAATATTTGAAACCAGAAACAACTGCTTATGGGGGAGAAAATACCACCAGGTGTGAACCACTATTAACAGCTGGATATGTTTTTAGACCTGTAAGAAGGTGGCAACGTGTGGACTGGTTCCTTCAAGCCAACAACTATTATATTATACTTATCTTCCTTTTTAACAAAGCCTTTAGTTAGGGAATAATCTGAAATCAACTCTATGTTCATCCTCCTGGTTCCTACATTTAAAATGGTATTTTATTTTATATTTTTATTGTAATTAATAAATTGTATTTCTATTTGTATTTTACACTCCATCTTGTCTTTTTATTACTTTCCTGTAATGTTATTGCTTAAAATGTTGTTTGTTTATGCAAAGTTCACTGAGACAAACGTGTTTTGTGATAGTAGGCTATATAAATTACCTTTCATTTGTTAAACGTTGATTAATGCTAACAACATTGTCACTGTAATGGTTTTGCTAATCATACACAAACATTATACAAAGAGATTATACTTTACATTTGGAACATTGTTCATTACAGAAGCATGTTAAAACAAATGCATTGCACATTTTAAAAATAAAGAGTAGAAAATAAAACAGAACTAAAATGTAGTATATATATATATATATGACATTTTAGTATATGATTTATATATATATATACACACAAGCTGAACGTGCAGAACGTGCAGACTGTTTGGGTCCAGATGTTATATAAGGTTGTTACCATAGCTATAATACAGAAGAACTGTATATTTCCACAGTACGTAGTGTAAGCTAGCGTTAGCTGGCGAGGCTAGGTGCTGTAAACACCACGGCCCAAACATTAAATCACTTACCCATCCGTATCTGGACACTGGCTGTTGCGACATTCGTGCCATAGTTGAAGTCGTCTTCAATAGACGTCCTGGGGTATTTTTCAGTACTCATGATGTCACTCTAATGTTTTCTCAGCTAGAAAAATAAATGTAGTTTATGTGGCTTCAGGAGAAGAGAAGACGGTAACACTGGCGTTAAAAAGCCTGCGCCGGAGTGACGTCACCGAACTGAGTAAAAAAAGTCAAGCGCTTTTTGTTCAACAAACTTTATTGAACATTTACAATGAACAATGCTGTAAAGCGGATTGTTGATAATATTACACAGTTTGAGGTTGGGCAACACAGAGAGAACACATTACATTACATTCAATGTCAATGATTATTAATTGTTTTACGGAATACAGTGTGACTCCAAACAGGCTTGCTTTACCACTCAGCAGGGTGACATGTGACTTAGTTAGATAAGATAAGGGCCTTGCTTGTTCCAACAACAACCTCTGCAATAAATAAAACATGGCAATACTAGCACCTTAACACATTATGGAGAGTCAAATAACCCTTACAAAATAAAAATAAAACAAAGCTTAATTTTACAAAAATCCCAAGAAAACGTCAAGGCACTTTCACTTGAAAAGATTAAAACTCCTTTACTGATTATTTGTTGTTATTAACAATTAGAATTTTGAGTTGCTTGTGGTTTGATATTGGTGTTTATCTTAAACAAACACATTGTGATTCAGAGAAGCACTCATATCCAAACATTTTGTAATGCTTAATTTCAGTTTCTTTTTTGTCATTACCTGTCATTGAAGAATTCACGTGGCAGGGGAAAACCAAAACCATAAAAACACATTTACAACGCTTGAAATAACAAGTTGAAAATGCTCAGAAAAAGAGCCCTACTTCTTTCACTTATTCAAAAAGAGGTTGTTTAAAGAGAGTGGGTTAAGTTTTCGGGCTCAGGGTACTGATGATTTGAGTTACGCTTCCTTTAGGGAGGCATACACAAGATCACATGACCCCACAAAACTAGCATAAAGAAACAATTCTTGGTTTCAGCACTTAGATCTTAGAAAAAGTAGAAATACTATAGCACTGAAATACTTAATCTTACTGAGGTTAAAGAACAAAAGTATTTTAAACAAAAAGTACCTTAAGTACCAAAAGTAAAAGTAGAATTGATTCTGTACAACAGTCCATTTCGACAATACTGTATATATGATTAGATTATTATTGCTGATTCAGTGTTTATCACTACAATGGTGGTGCTGTTAAAGGAGGAGCTTTTTTCTTAGACTAAATACTGCCTTGTTATTTCTGGATTTCACTAAGTTTATTTCAACACAAAATAATGCATGATAAATATATTATGATTATATTTGTATTATTAATCTGAATCTTCAATTCTCCTTTAAGTTACAGGACTAAAGTACATCTATTCTTGTTTTAAAATAATTCTTGTTTTTTTTTGTACGAGGATGGTGATATGTTTAGGGAGTTTTCCACAAAACTCTCCTATCCATAAAGGACCAAACCTGTTCAGCCATATTTTACCTGGCAACAGTGCGATGTAATTTATCGATTGGCTGTGATGCTGGGCTGGGCGGTTTTACAGCGCTTGATACATCTGCAATGCTCTCTATGCTTTCACTTTAGTTCTGTGCTTTGGAGGAAGCAGACACACTTGTCTCTGTTATTCCAGCTTTGAAACTACAAAAGGAGAATTAAGCAAACATGAGGCTTCTTTTCTGCATTGCAGCTCTGGTAGCTGTCAACTTTGCACAGGACACCAATCACAGTAAGTATTTTTGTTTTGATGCAGTAACTTAAACCTTGTTTTTTTACTGTAAAATCCCATAAACTGTATCTCTAGTAAGTCATCCTTGAAAAGCTAAAAGCTAATCAGGATATACAATGTAATATACAGAATACAAGCAGATAGTAAGGTGTATATCTTTAAAAAGCTACTTGTTATAAACCTCCAGACACTGATGTAAGAGTCAAGTGCAAAGGAGAAATATTATTTGTCATGTTTTTATTTCGGTGGAATTCCCCTCAACAATCTGAATTAAGTTTCGATTTCCTGTAATACCATCGTGGTATTACAGTGGAGGGCGCACGATGAACCGTGAATGCGCCCTCCACTGGTTGTATAGGAATATGATTTACAAAAAAAACTCCAGAGGGTGAATTTCCAAATCATCTTTAAAACCTAAGATAGTTCCCACGAGAAAATGTGTTTACTGACGGAGGATATTTTTATTTTGTTCAGTCAGTAAATTAATGAGCCTCATCATGGTTGTGAGTAGTTCCATTGTTATTTTCCCAATTTGTGAGTGCCTTTGTTTTGTATTCTCTCAAGTGTCCCAACAGAAGCATTTTTTAAATTGTTATTTCCTTCTCAACAATCTACATTTTTTATGTGATGCAATATAGATAGATACTTTATTTTCATTTTACAAATAAACTATATACGCTTAATAAAATCAAATATGTATATTTTAAATTCAAAAAATGTCCTCTCAGTTTTTTAAATTATTATTGGCAAACAATTTACCTTACGTCAGTTTGGACAGGTTGACAGCCATGTTTGTTATCGGTGGGAATCTTCTACTTTCCTTTCTTTTAGACTTTGATAAATATATTGCAAAAAATGTATATATAAACAATACAATTATATTTTAGAAAATAACAATTCAAGTATGTTTTAACTTTTTTTACCTGACCTTTGTTACCTTCAACATAAAAAAAAACTTCCAGATGAAAACACATTTTGTTATTTCCCCAATTGTCATTTTTTGTAGCCATTTTCACTGAGATGGAAGTTTTTTAGGCCTAACTTCCGTCTCTTTGTTGCCTCTAGCTCCTCCCAAGGTCATGGTGTATAGCAATGGCCCAGGAGAGTTCGGGACGGCTAACACCCTGATCTGCCATGTGAGCGGCTTCCACCCCCCTGACATCATGATCCAGCTGATGAAAGATGATGAGGAAATCCGCAACGCCGAGCAGACTGACCTGGCCTTCAAAAAGAACTGGCGCTTCCATCTGACCAAGAGCGTGCCCTTCACTCCCAAGGAGGGAGAAAAGTACAGCTGCAAGGTCACTCATGGTTCGACCCCCAAACAATATGCCTGGGGTAAGTAAGGATTAGCCAAAATGTGTGTAAAATATACTTATGAATAAATATAAATACGTTTCCAAAAATACATGATACAAAGCCTTTTAAGTGTAGATCATATGTATTGTAAGTGGCCTTGGTTAAAATAATCATCTAAATGAAATGTAATTTGAGACTGTAACTTGTGCTTTTCTTTTCTGATAGACCCTAATATGTAAATGTCAGCGAAGGCCCAGATTGGTGAGTGCTTTATTTTATAGCTACATTCATGCTTCTCCGCCAGCAGTGCCACATTTGATTGTTGTTTTCTGCTGTATAACGCTGGGTTGTCATTTTCTCTTTCCAGAAAGAAAACCGGATGGTTTGGCCCTCTCTACAGCAGCATTTATTCTTCACATCTCCAATCAGCTGAATAACAATTTTTTCGGACTTTCTCTTTTTTTTTTCTCACAAAACATAAATATCAATATCATATCAAGGGGAATTTCCACTTACTTTTGTAATGTGAGAAAAGGCACGGGCTGCGGGATACTTATTTCTGTAATCTAGGAGTGTGTTGCTTTGATGTACACGTATGAGTACACGAGTGATTTTGTTTGTGTAAGCTGTGGAAGCTGTAATTAATTAAACCTTATTTTTTCACCTAAACGAGGCATCAAATACTAATTGTTGAGATACATGGTAAAGGGGTGTGTTCTTTTTCTGGATCAGATAGAAGTGTGATATACAATTTAGGCTGACTGCTATATTTGAAGTCTCTTTGATTGCCATCTTCTAAATAAAAGTCTCTTTAAACCCCCTTGGTTTCTTCTTCTTTTTTTTATTCAAACCTGTTCAATTTGTACTTTTATCATAGGGATATTGGTAGACATGGCATCTTTGTGGCTTAATAAAGTAGAAAACACCAGGGCTGTCAGGGTGACAATGAATTGACTAAATGTATAGGTATTTAAATCAGCACCCATCATTTTCCTTCTGTTTTGGTTCCATTTGACCGCTTCTGCTGATCAAATTGCAGATGGTCAATTTGAAAAACTATTCCACATAAAGAAATGTGTTTGTATAAGTAAACACATTTAAATATGCTGTATGTTATTGTATTATAATATCCAAAGAAACACTTTACTTAATCTAGTAAGTGAGTATCTGTATCAAAAGGGAAAGCCAATTAATTGTATATATTATTTATTACATGATGGCAGTTTCAGTTAACATAAAGACTGGGCAACTATAGTGCAATCGAACATTAATTTATTAGAGATTTTAGAATGAAAAATGCAGGGCCTATACAAAAAAACAAACAGGTGAAAGATGTCGGGTGACCAAAAACAATAATATATTTTTTAATGTTGTGTGTGTGAACAAGTAATGGTTACATTCTATTTAGCTGCTTTTATAAGTTACATCTGTGCTATTTTTTTAATGTCAGAATATGTGCTTTGAGAAAGGCGCCTTTCACATACATAATAAGAATGTCGTTTTTTGACGGCATCAGGTGAAAGCATAGATAATAACAAGCTACTATAGTTTTACTTTGTGGTATATTTTGTAAGAAAATGCTTATTAGTGTATGAATAAACCAGATATTTTTATTTTTATCTATTTTACTGTAATAATGGATGTATCATGAAGGGGCTTTTACTTCATTTAATTGTGCCACCCTAGGCTCTGTTGTATATTGGACTAAAGCTTAAGATAGTCCCCATTTCGACTGCTGTGAATCCCTCTTTTTTTTAAAGACAACTATGACAATATATAAAATCATTTGTATGCTTGTTAAGGGATAACAGATATATGATTACTAATCAACTACAATACATTATGACATATTAGGCATAACGCAGACTAACAAACATGACTTCCTGGTCAAACTCATGAAACTGCGCCACAGATCAACGTGTCGTGGTAAATTCTGCCTAGTGATACGTCGTCTCGATTATTCTATTGGTGGACGAGTTCTGCTTTTTTATATTTTCACCGAGGTACGCCGAAGCTATGGCCGAAGCTGGTTTTCTGGGCGGAGTCAGAGCCTCCCCACCATTTGACTTAATAACTCTTGAGACGAACACACATTTTTACTTTCGATTTTGACTCGAGAGGAGTTGTTATTTTGGACAAATATAAAATACAAACAACTATTCAGTGGCCTCCTGAAACCGACTGAAGGTGAAATCATGAATATATTTCTCGCAGTTCTCGTCGGGCTGCTCTCTGTCCTCCCTTCAAAAGCGAAAGATGGTAAGTTTAAGATACGGTAGGATACTTGTTTATGTACCGATGATGGCCTATAAATGGCGCCGTGTTATTTCACGGAAATGGCAGAAGGACAAAGGACATCGGCTCTCACAATATATGACATGTAACTGCTTTGTTTACTTCCTACTTCATTTACTTTAATGATAAAAAAAGAGCCAAAGGAAAAGCTCTCATACATGTACGTTAAGTAAAGACTTTGAGAAGTGCAATATATCAGAGTAATTGGGTTTAAAGGTCAGGATAATCTTTTCGAAGGCACTCCTACCAGGTAATGTTAAATGATTAAGTGACCAGACGAAAAACAAAGCCTACCACACAAAACATGGTTTCAAACTAATGAAATCATAATTGATCATACTACAGCAAATCATTTGAATGTATTGAATAGACCTTGAAATATTCATTAGTCTTTGGCAGCTTTGTCTTTTTTATTTCCTGCACTGACAAATTGACTTTAATTATATGTAATTTGTCAACAGGTCCACCTAACTGTATTAGGTTAGTTGAAGGAAATAACATTAAGTTTAAATAGGTTCAATTTAATAACATTGCTTTCAACTAACCTAATATAGTTATGTGACATTTGTTGACATAATCAGTTCATTAAAGTCAACGTTTCAGTTTTTTCAGTGTGAATATGTGTGCACGTTTTTCTGTTCTTTGGTAGCTCCACCTGAAGTGCAGGTGTACAGCAAAGGACCAGGGAAACTTGGGGAACCCAACACCCTCATCTGCCATGTGAAGGGCTTCTACCCACCAGAAATCTCCATTAAAGTGCTCAATAATGGAAAAGAGATCCTCGGAGCCAAACAGACTGACCTGGCCTTCGAAGAGAACTGGCACTACCACCTAACCAAGCACGTGTCTTTCACCCCATCACAAAACGACAAGTACACCTGTGTTGTGACTCATCTTGGATCCCAAAGTGAATACACCTGGCGTAAGTCTCTATACACCTCCATTTATTACAGTATTAGGTTTACAGAGTGGGTACAATCATTTAAAGAAAAAAGACAATTACTGATTCACACATTAGCAACTACATAACTATACTAGGGAGTTTACTATAATAAAAGACAAACAAAATACGTTTTATGTAACACAATAAAAAAGGCCTATTTATGTATATATTTTTTATATCATTTAAGGCAATGATGGCTCATATGAGCACAAATTGAGTAAATTACAGAAAAAATACAGAAATGTATTAAATATTTGTTGTTGTTTGATTTCATGCAATAGGTCCATGTTTATTACTTTTTGTTCAATGAATTACAGCATAGCACAACATTTATGTGAGCCACAACCACTTAAAACCAGAATCACATTATTGATCATTAGTTGAAATGTACAGTTGAAATGAATACATTAATAATCTATTTATGTTTTTGTTGTTTTTAAAGCCTTTTATACAGTCAGGATTAGCCTAACAGTTGCCCTTTTTTAAATAAACATTGACAAAAGAAATGTAAGACTTACAGAAATACATTGTGTAGTGGATATAGTAACACTACGTTTTAGTTTAGAATATATGTACTTAGTCCTGGAAGAAAATAGACATTTTAAATCACCTTAAAAGTAGAAAATAAAGTGCAGAATTACCTGAAATAAATCTGGTCCTATGACGTAGTGGTTTAAGTTGTAACATAAAATCGCAATGCTCTTCGCCCCACATTTCCTGTTTCTCAACAATGTCATTTACTGTCATGGATCATTTTAATCGTCATTTTACAACACAGTGTTGCACAATAGAATGATAGCCATAGCCTCTTCTTGCTGTACTCACACACTACATACATACCATTTAAATGCTTTGAATATAATTAAAATAAAAGCGAAATTATGAAATATAATAAACATCAGTTTTACTTTCTGTGTTGCTATTACTGTTACCAACCATGCTCTAAGATCAATAACTTGACAATAAATAAAACAATTTAGGAATATAAACCACTATATCAGTTTTCTGGATGAGATGTCACAAGTACAGAATTTGTCAGCTGTTTCAGAAATAGAGCAGTTCAAATGTTGATTTTGTTCTCAACATGTTTTTCATTCTCTCTACAGTATCAGATATGTAAGCGCCACCTTGCTCCAGGTTTGTACCTCATTGATTCTCAGTGTTTCAAAATTCTAATGTTTTAACTTAATAAACAAGTCATTTGTGCAGTTGATGTCAGAGTGACACTGTTTCTATCCTTTGTTTAATAACCACAGGTCTGCTCAGTCCAAGCGAAGCGACATGAAGAAGATTGAAATGATTTGTCTATAATCTTGGATTTCATCATCTAATGAGAGAAAATATTGTGCCTGCAATCAGCTGTGTTTTTTTTTTATCAGAAGTACAACATGGCAATGAAGCTCCTTTAATAAAATGTTGATTTATCAGGGAACATCTAGCCATGTCTGTTCATAGATAGTATGTAAGGGATAATATGCAGCGAGCCTACATTAAAGTGAAAAGGATCACCGCTAAATGACCGGCTCGCTGCATATTATCCTTCTTATTACATGGCCACATATTCAATCAATAATTTGACATAACATATTGATTTAAACATAACTTTATGTGATTAGCAACAAAACTTAAAATGACTGCAGCACTTGTCAAGGTTTTTCTGCATTGTAACTGTTCAGGCCTGGTTTCACTTTCTTCTTCAGAGCGCCCTTAATGATCTGTTATATAGAAAGAGAAGAACGCTGAACATCCAAATTGACCAATCGGAATTAAGTATTTTACTAAGCTGTGCAGTAACAATAAATAAGGTAAAGAGGACGTGATCACAGAGGAAACTATTTACACTGATGATTATACATGCCCATGCCTTCCTGTGTGTGTTGAATGCTTGATATGTAAGGGCTTAAAAAGACTTATCTAATTAATTATCTTGTGCACTTTTTATATTGTGAAGTACAAGTAGTGACTAATGCTTCTTGAGTTTACGACAGCGTGTGTTTTTACTATAAGTACAACATAAAACATAAGCCTATTATTTTCCATGTTCGTGTGATTTGATTCCCTCTGTAAATGGGTGTTACAGTATATGGTTGGTTAATAAAAATGGTCATGACTCTTAATTAATCGAGTTTAATCATTTGCCAGTATTAGTGTTGGGACTAACGCATTACAAAGTAACGCGTAACTGTAACGCAGCTAACTTTTTTGTGGTAACTAATCGCGTTACTAGTTACCTATTCCCACAAAGTAACGCCGTTATAGTTACTGTGATTTAAATGGGTGCGTTACTGCGTTACATTGTGTGATGGAACTGAACCGAATCTCCCTGCGGATGTAACTTACAGGCGAGTACAGCGATGTCCTCTCACAGTACCATGGGAAAGTGAAAGTGACCAGAGAGGAGTGATGATTGGTTAACGCGGGTTAACATTTCAGAGTAAGCCAATCAGAGACAGAGTTGTCTTATGGGGAAAATACACACACGAACACTTGCTAATGCTAACAAGCACACGGCAACGCTCACCACCAGCACACACACACACACACACACACACACACACAAGGCAACGCTCACCCCCAGCACACACACACACACACACTCACACACACACACACACACACACACACACACACACACACACACACAATGGCAGATGCACATGTCACCCAGAGTCAACTAAATAGATTGATTGC